CCGCAACTGACCATGGCCTGTTTATTGACTATGCTTCTGCCTGCCGTCTGGATTATCAACCACGTTTATGCCTTCTTCCTGGACTGACCTCGGCCTGTTAAATTGACAATGTTTTTTGCCTGCTGCTTGGATTGATCTTTTGCCCTGCTACTGCAGTAGTGGGATTCAAGATAACGCAGGGGTCTCACATATGTGAGGGGCTTCAGAATGGAGAAAAAACTGTTTTTGGTTTTCTCCGGGTTTGTAATTCCTGGAACAGGGTCTGTTTGCCTTTACCCCTGTGCCGCGGTCCTACCTGACCAAGGCCCTAAGCCTGATGTTCCTGCCTGCTGCCTGGACCAATACTTTGTGATGATCATATCTCTGCTTGCATTGACCCAGGACTTTTTATGGACCATGTTCTTGCCTGTTGCCTGGACCAATACTTTGGCTGTGCTGACCATATCTCCTCTTGCTACCTGTACTGACCCAAGACTTTTTCAGACCAGGTTCCTGTCTGCTACCTGGACCAATACTTTGGCTGTGCTAATCAGATCTCTGCTTGCTGCCTGTACTGACCTAGGACATTTTATGGATCATGTTCCTGCCTGTTGCCTGAACCAATACTCTGGCTGTGCTGACCATATCTTCATTAGCTACCTGTACTGAACCAAGACTTTTTCAGATCATGCTCCTGTCTGCTGCCTGGACCAATACTTTGGCTGTGCTGACCATATCTCTGCCTGCTGCCTGTACTGACCCAGGACTTTTTATGGACCATGTTTCTGCCTTCTGACTGGATCTCACCCTGCTGCCTGTTCTGACCCTGGCTTGTTTTTCCATCATATTCCTGCCTGCTGCCTGGGCAAATCCTGTGGCTGTTGACTGCTTCCTGGTCCAATGCTCTCCTAAAACCACAGGTAATCTTTTGCTTATCCTTTCTTTAGCTAGGCTGTGAAAAAGTCTCACATGTGGTATTGTAATGTTCAGGAGGAGTAGCAAAATGTATTTTTGAGTATAGAAGAAATGTCGTATAAATTGACAACTTTGTGTAAAAAAAAAAAAAAATTTTAATTTTCTTTCCACATTTTCCAAAAACTTGTGGAAAAAAATAACATGTTCAAAAGACTCATTATGCCTGATAAAATATACCTTACAATGTTTGTTTTCCAAAATGGGGTCATTTTGTGGGTGTTTGCACCGTCCCGGCGCTGCAGGGCCTTCAAAACTGTCATAGGTAGTCAGGAAATTAGATGTGTAATTTATGCTCTACAATGCGTGAAGGTGCTACTTGGATGTTGGGTCTCTGTATGTGGCCAAGCTGTGGAAAAGTCTCACACATGTAGTATCACCAAACTCAGAAGGAGTAGCAGAATGTATTTTGGGGCATAATTCTTGGTATGTACATGCTGTGTGTTAGAAATATCTTATAAATTGACAACTTTGTGTGAAAAAAAAAAGTTTTTATTTTTCTTTCCACATTTTCTAAAAACTTTTGGAAAAAATAAACATGTTCAAAAGACTCATTATGCCTGATAAAATATACCTTGGGATGTTTGCTTTCCAAAATGGGGTCATTTTGTGAATGTTTCTATCGTCCTGGTGCTCCAAGGCCTTCAAAACTGTGATACGTAGTCAGGAAATTAGATGCATAATTTATGCCCCTTTTATGCTCCTACAACGCGTGAAGGTGCTACTTGGACTTTGGGTCTCTGTATGTAGCCAGGTTGTGGAAATGTCTCACACATGTGGTATCACAATACTCAGGAGGTGTAGCAGAATGTGTTTTGGGATGCAATTGCAGTATGTCTATGCCAGGTGTGAGAAATAACTTGTTCTTTTGACAATTATATGTGAGGGAAAAAAAAGTGTTCATTTTCCAAAGAATTGTGGGAAAAAATTACAACTTCAAAAAACTCACCATGTCTTTTACCAAATACTTTGGACTATTTTCCAAAAAGGGGTCATTTGGGGGCTATTTGTACTTTCCTAGCATGTTAGGGGCTCAAGAAATGAAATAGGCCATCAGTGCTTCAGGTGTGATCAATTTGCAATAATTGGTGTCATAGCTTGTAGACTTTCACACAGACTAAATAATATACACTGATTTGTTTTTTTTTTTCCACCAACGTTTTGTAGCAGTATACATTTTTGCCTAAATTTATGAAGACAAATTACTAATTTGCAAAATTGTATAACAGAAACAAAGAAAACCTTATTTTTGTTTTTTAACTTTTCGGTCTTTTTTCACTTATAGTGCTAAAAATGAAAACCCAGGGGTGATTAAAGGAAAGCTCAATTTGTGTGAAAAAAATGATAAACATTTCTTATGAGTACAATGTTGTATGACCACGCAATTGTCATTCAAAGAGTGACAGCACTAAAAGCTGAAAATTGGCCTGGGCAGGAAGGGGGTAAAAGTGCCTTGTATGAAAGTGGTTATAATGAATCCTCAATGACTTCATCGGTAGGTACTCTGGAGAAGTTCATCCTTAAAGTTCACAGCCAAACCTCTAAAGTTGTTCACGCAGTTGTCTCAGGCCATTCAGCTAACTGTGCTCACAGCCTACTAGCCTCGTAATCCCCAATGTAAACACAAAGCATGTGCTCTAGAGGAACCAAGGAGAGCAGGGCTGCTTGAGAGAATGAATTGACCATGGTTAGGTTGTGTTTGACTTGCTTTGTGGTTTTTTTTTTTTTTTTTTTGCACACAGCAGGCCCTTTTGTTCACATTGCAGGCCCTTTTGTTTGCATTGCAGGCAAAGCAGGACTTTGCTGTGCTTTGAATTCAAAAGCATACATTTGAGAAGTGCTGTGTTTGAATTTTCACTTTTTATCAAGAGGTGATTAAGAGGTAACATTCTGCTAAAACTTTTGTGTAGTAGTACTGCCTGGACCTTGAAGAAGGGGATATACCCCGAAAGCTTGTCCTCGAAATTATATGTTAGTGCAAATAAAAAAATATCAGGTCAGTACTCAATTGTTTCTGTCACTTTTTATCAAGAAAGTCCACACAGACAAGGCCTTAAAAATTGCCTAGCAACGATAAATTCACTCTGCGAGAACCTTTGTTATTTCTTTTTTATTGAAGCCTAAGCCAATTGGGAAGATTTTTTTTTCACACTTTCTGTCCTGTTGAATGGTGCCTCTAGGACAAGAACTGAGGGGAAATCTAATGGGGACACAGAAATGTAATACTACTTAGGGCAGCATTAAATAATGCCCTTGCAATGGGGCTTCCCTGTAATGCAATGGTTTAAATGCTTGTTAAATCTAGCAGTAGAAGATTGAGCTGTGATGCTCATCTTATTCCTTACTCTGGTAGACTTTTGGCAGGCTGTGTGGACGGTCCCCTGAAGCCTTTCGTCTTCAACATTCTGGCCATTGGTTGCACTTTGACATCATCTTGCTCAAAGGATTATCAGTCCTACACTGAACATGAGGAGGTCACCCACAACCCAGGGCATCAGAGAGGAGAGAGGAGAGCCAGGAACAAGGTAGATGTTATAGTTTAGCCCTTTATCCCTAGAATCAAACAAGCATTTAACCCTTCCAGTGCAGGGAAATGATGGGAGGTGTCAACTGTAAATATTAGTTTTTGTTTTTTTTTATTTTGGGCTTAAGCTTTTAAGAAACTTTAGTTTTTAGTTTTTCTTTAAAACTACCCAGTTAAGGTCCCTCTCTATTGCAGGCAATATAAGGTGCCAGAATAGACCTTTAGATTTGCAGTCATCCTTCTCTCAGTGCCACTAGATCCTGCAGAAAAACCCTTACTTGTTTCAGGTATAGGTTAGTGATGGGCTTTATGTTGAGTCAAGTACCCCATACTCATTCACAAGGGGGGTGGGATCTGGGGCCCCCTTGTTTAAGGGGGGCTTCCAGATTTTGATAAGTCACCCTCCACAGACCCCCATAACCACAGCACAGGATTGTGGGGAAGAGGCGCTTGTTCTCCATCAACAAAGCACCCCCACCCCCCATGTTGACAGCATTTGGCCTGGTACGGTTCAGGAGTGTGGGGGGGGGTGCTCGTTCATCCCCAACCTTTCCCTGTGCTCAGATCAAGGGCCTGCTTTGGCTTTTAAGGGGAGCCCCATGCACTCCCCCCCCCCCTCCATTTTTGTGAGGTGGGGTTCCCCTAAAAAGTCCTAAAGGGCCTGGTATAGCTTTTAAAGGGAATCCCACGCACTTTAAAAAAAAAAACATTTTTACTGTGGGGTCCCTACTAACCTTCCTACCAGACCTAAGGGGTCTGATATTGATTAGGCAGGGGACCTCATGCTATTTTTTTATTATTTTTTTTTTTTAAATGTCAGTCCTGCTGCAGCAGGTTCTGTACATTGTATAGAGGAGCAACTTTGCAGGTAGTTTAAGGAGACCCCCCCCAGGCATGATATTTAACCACTTACCTACAGGGCACTTATACCCCCTTCCTGCCCAGGCCAATTTCCAGCTCTCAGCGCTGTCATACTTTGAATGACAATTGTGCGGTCATGCAACACTGTACCCATATGAAATTTTTATTATTTTTTTGTGACAGATAGAGCTTTATTTTGGTGGTATTTAATCACCTCTGGGTTTTTTCATTTTTTCTTAAACAAACCAAAAACCACAGAAAATTTTGAAAAAAAAAATTTTTTTTTCTTAGTTTTTGTTAGAAAATTTTGTCAATAAGTGATTTTTCTCCTTCACTGATGTGCGCTAATGAGGCTGTAGTGATGGGCACTGATAAAATGCACTGATGGACACTGATAGGTGGCACTGATGAGGAGGCACTGGTAGGTGGCACTGATGGGCATTGACAGGCATCACTGATGGGCACTGAAAGGCAGCACTGATATATGGCACTGATAGGCGGCACTGATAGGCGGCACTGACTGCACTGTTAGGTGGCACTGACTGGCACTGTTAGGTGGCACTGACTGGCACTGTTATGTGGCACTGACTAGCACTGATAGGCGGCACTTACTGGCACTGATAGGCAGCACTGATGCGCACTGATAGGCGGCACTGACTGGCACTGATAGGTGACACTGACTGGCACTGATAGGCGGCACTGATTGGCAGCACTGATAGGTGGCACTGATTGGCAGCACTGATAGGTGGCACTGACTGGCACTGATGGGTGACACTGAAGGGCAGCTCAGATGGGCACTGATATGTGTCATTGATGTGCACTGGTAGGCACTGATATGTGGCATTGATGTGGCACTGATGGGCACTGGCACATGGCACTGTTCAGCACTGACAGGTGGCACTTCTGGGGCCACACTGATCATCAGGGTACACTGATCATCAGTGCCCTGATGATGATCAGTGTACATGTCCCCTCGGTGGAATGCCGATTACCGGCTCTCCTCCCCTCTCGAGCTGTCAGCGTGACAGCTCGAGAGGAGAGAAATGCCGATAACCGGCATTTCTCTGTTTACATGTGATCGGTGATCCGCTGTGTCCGAGGGACACAGAGCACCGCCGATCGCCATGCTGCGCACTCCCTGTGTCATGCATGCGCAGTGAGAATGGAAGGCCATCAAAAGACGGCCTATCCGAACGAGAGAATCGAGAATCACCTTGTGCCCGTCATTGGACTATATGGCGGGCGCGAGGTGGTTAAAGAAATTTTTTCTTTTCTTTTTTTTTGTTTTTTTTTTTACATTAAGCAATGAAAAATGATTGTCCCTTTAAAAACGTTACATTTTGAAAAATGTTTTTCACTGATTCATGTCCCTCAGGGCAGTACCCGAGTCCCCATACCCCTTTTATGGCCAATAACTTACATATAGGCACTTTTGAATTCATAAGTTGAAGGCCAATAGACTTGCATTGTGTTAGAAGTTCATGGTGGAACTTTCGTTAGGTTAGAATTTTCAACCACGAAACCAAACAGGGTGTTGTTTGGCCCATCATTAGTATAAGTATGTAGGCATGACTTGTCTACAGGTCTAAGCACTGTCACAAAGGGTATGATGAGCACCATGCCCATGCAATTTTGAGAATGTCAATATTTTGATAGGGAGTTCTGCAGGCTCCATGGGCTCCAAGAGGTGGAGGCCTGAAAAGCTAAAACCTTAAGGTACATGCAATGCATTGAGAAACCTAACTGGGCAATTCCAGTGAAACAGCAATGGCTCTACCCAGGCCCCCTCAATAATTGCTTAAATAGAATAACAGAGCTTAGATTAAGATATCTGGCTATTCAGGCTACAGCCAGACCCCAGTCATGGGGTGATTACAGCTGCCACAGCACTTTTAGCCTGTTCATTGTGGCACTTGTGGGTGTATTCCAAAGAGTTAAAAAAACAAACTTTTAGGTATTTGTAAATGTATCTTTTTTAGGATCAGGTACCCACCCCCAACACACCTTTCAAATGTTATACCTATTTGTCCCACTCCAGCAAGATTTTCACTGTGCATTCTTCTTTAAAATTCTTCAAAGCAGAGTTTGCCTCTCCAGTTCATGTTTGCAGCAATCTCTATTCATTGGTATAGAGAGGGTTTCATTGCCCAACTATAACACTCAAGTATAACACTTTAAGAGGGTGTTGGGGAGGATACCTGACCCTAAAAAATATAAGTGTACTAAAAGTACAATTGTCCAATGAAAAGGCTACCCATTTCCTGTTGAAGAGACCCATGCATATGTGACAGGTTCTTGACACAATGGAAAACATTAATGGTTCCTGTCCAGTGGTATACCATATAGAGTTGAAACTACATCCCTTTAAAACTGAATACATATAAATTAAACAAGCTCTATGACTAATTAAATGTAGCTAGGGCACTGCTGAATTGAATTACCACCTCAATCAGCCACAGAACCTGTGTAAAAGGGATTAAGTGGCAACATAAATATCATGGCAGCATGAATGGCAATCTAAGGTCTGTTATTTTTTTTTAAGTCTTTGATGAAGGGGTGAGAGAATCTTGGGAATGGGGATGGGAGGGAGTCACTTAAATGTATGGTTATGCATTGGCACTCACAGCTTATGCCAAATCTGCTCATGAATGCCAGGGATAGTTGGTTTGCAGATCACACCCTCACGTGTGCACAGCTACAGTAATAAGTGTCTCAACAATGTGGGTTGACTGCTTTGATTGACATGCAAAAAAAACATGAGCAGTTGGTGAAACTTGAAAGCAGTTTTGGGAAACACCACCCTATAATAACATAATTATTGATTCTATTAATCAGTAGTGTACAGAGACCTCAGAACAACTTTGTTTTTGTTTTTTTTTATTTCCTAAAATGTCAATGGCACCTTATATAAAAGAGCAATCCACCCAAAATGTATATTATAGCTATAGGAAGAATCTGGTGAGTTGGATCAACCCCTGGCTTCTAGTACTGTATGTCTTCACTACTTCAACAGTGAAATTGTCTTTCAATAATTCTTGACCTCCTGTTTCTGTCTACTTGAGAGTTTTTGGTATCTCGACTCAACCTTTGTGCCCTTCCATCCCTTCCTGTCGCATTCTCTGTAATATGCATTTTATAAAAAAAAAAAAAAAGTCCAGCAAGCAGAGAGGGAACGCCTCTCTTGTTTCCTGTACAAACCCAGGAAAAAGCCCAGAGATCTCACCAACACCAACAAAGGTCCCAGGAGAGACTGGTGATTCAAGTCTATCCAAAACAGTAATATCAATTTTTGGTGGTCTGGTCCTTTAAATTAATGACACAAGCTTTTAATCTACAATGCAGTTGTTCATATACATAGAGTTTTATTAGGGCTGGGCAATCCTGGCTCATTTTCTTACCTGAGTTAATCTAAATTCATTACATATTTGCTAGTGATAATAGAGATGACTGTGAACTGCAATAAATGTATTAGATGAACGTGCTGTGAATAACAGACTTGAAATTGAGACGGATCCTTAGGAAAGATTGCTTGTTTAGAGTGGTAAATAGTGCTTTGATGAACCTTGTCAGTGAAAGTAACACATGTTGCTGTATAAACTCAGTGATTTTTACAGAAATCAGCATTTATCATGAAACAAATAAGAAATCCAAATGCTTGAATCAGGTAAATGTGTCCTTGAACCAGCTAGAGCATGTTTTTCAAATCAAGCAAATGATTTGTCTGAAAATGTATGGCAAATCACGTGTAAGACTGCAAACAAAACAAACCCCTCTGTGTGAGTGATATTGGCATAGAAGTCCTTTACATTTAGTGCAGTCGCATTACCCTGCGTTCATCCCCTGTTGCTGTACTCAGTACCACTTTATGTATTCTGCACAGAGCTTGTTATGGCAAACGTCAGCTGGGTGTTTATCATCCTGGGAGGCCAAGCATATCAAGTGCCGGAATAATCCTTCTGACTCCTTGCCCCACTGCCCTGAAGATTGTTTTTCTTTATGCATAAATTTCTTGTATTGGCGTTTCTGAGAGAGACACCTCCAACCAAGGATTGAGACATATAAATTATGCCAATATATACTGTACAAGTGCCTGCACACTGCTTCATCTGCTGTTAAATTAAATTCTGTTGTCCACTCTCTGGCCTGCCATTTACACATGGCCCCAACTCCATGTGCAGTGCGTTGCACAGCCATTTACTGTGAACGATACCCCAGCACATTGTACAGTAGAGTCCATGCATTGTTGAAAAGGGCTCATGCATTTTTTTTGTGTTTTTGTTTGCAGCCCATTCATAATGAATGCATTTTATAATGTAATGCACGTTACCATACCACAGTACAAAGAGTCAATGGGCCCTGTGTGCAGGACACCTACTAGTCCTTATTCTGATGGGAATATACAAGAAATAGGCTGGAAAATACTTTCTTTCAGCAGATGTTGTTCAACACAACTGTAGTGCTACCATTGTAGGAGCCTCTGTAGTTAATAGTATTTTACCCACACAGTGAAGAGGCAGCTAGGCACAGAGCACAAGTTCACTCTCTCTAACTTAATAATCAGTCTAGGGCAAGTCTTTTTGAATATTTATTGCAAGAAGAAACTTGTAACTGGAGAGGACAATGGGTTTGGGATACTCCAAAATGTCAAAGCACACATTTTGCAGAGCTGATAGCAGCACAGTTTTTCTTTCCCTGCTGTGGACCAGGAGAATATTAGGCACATAATTAGAAAGCACCTCTCCACTGGGCAGTAACAAGACATTGGTTCACTTCAACTGTAGACCAGGAGATATTAGAGCATGAGTAGGACATGTAAGTAAACTATAATAGTCTGCTTCCTGCAGCTGATGACCACAGGATAGGTTTGGACAGTTATTAGGCGTAAACTAGAACAGTCTGAGTTCTTGAACCTGATGACCACAAGATGGATAGCACACTAGGCATACTGGAGCAGTCTGTAACATCCATATCTGAGGATTATCAAAAAGAAAAAAAGGCACCTCTCACCAACCCCCTGCATTAGTATGTAGATGAATGTGGCCTCCATTCATCTACATACTAATACACTAGGCTGGTGGGCATCGCCTTTTCTTCTCTTTGATAATGCTCTCGCACCTCTGGTTCACTGATGCCAGCTCCCTTCACTTCAACTGGTGGAGAGATCTCTGTCTCAGCTTAGAGCAACAGTGCAAGTTTTATTTGGATCTACAGCTGAGGACCATAGATAAACTGCAGCTCAGAAGATTGGGCTCTAGTACAAGGAAGGCCATGGGCTTGATCCAAGGTTTGTAGTAGTCCACCAGCCAAGCAGAAAGGCTTTGGGGCAGGCCAGACCCTAGAAGCACACAGCCCCCCTTTCTACAGGGGAAACAAAGATTTCCCTGGACTGCTGGTTATTTACCTGCCTTCCATCCACCATCTGAGCACACCTCCCCAGGGATTGGCTGGGGCAAGGTAAGAGCCCAACCTGGGCATTTGGATTTGGATTTCCCTGCCCTGAGCTCTGGAAAGTTCTTGACCGGCTCAAGAGGAATCAATCAAATGACCAGACTATGGAGCCAGAACAGACCAAAACAGCAGATCACAGCTCCTCTAGAGAGCAAACCACACTACATTTGCTAGCATCCTTACCAAGGAGTGTGCTACACAACTACTTCTAATTACATTTTTCTACTGACCTTCTGCTCTGATGTCTGGTATTATAAGGGAAAGCAATACCAAAAAATATAGCATCCAAAGTAAAATAGACCTGATCTGAAATTTCTCTTAAGTAACACCATTGCAGAGGTACCTTGTGGACCCTTTTAAGGTAATTGTGTTTAGTATACAAATCAATCCCTTTGGAGCCCCAGACCCTGGCTGTTCATGGGGCCTATACTTCTATCCAAATTAAGGTTACAGTAAACCTGTCACCACAGGGTACCTTTACTCAATGGCTTATCTGTAAAACAAGCATGGATACATTTACCTCTTCAGTGACCTGTATCTAAAAGATCTACATTTTCTCCACTCCACAGCTGATGCATGTATTCCTCACTTGCTACCTGCTATGGTTCCTCCCAATGGCTGATATCCTTAAAATATTGTTTTAGGTCTTGGGGAACCACTTCATTTGTAGAAAGTAGAAAGATCACTGTTGTCATGCTGCAGGCTCTGTCAAGTAAATATGGCCCCCAGAAC